CATTCCTGTGCCCCACTGTGGAAGATGGGGAAAGCCAAACCAACCTGGTTATGTCATCCTCAAGCAGCAGGTGCCTGAGGAGTGATTTATATTACTTTATCATTAGCACTGTTCACGCAAACAGGGAGCTGGAGGCTAATAGCCTCACACATTTTTCATTTAATGCCAGGTCCCAGTCCTTGGTGAGAAAAGTGCCCCATGGTACGCCAATTTCTTTTAAGTGGTTTGTCTTCTGGACAACTGTGCAATTAAGCAGTCGAGTACTGGGTTTTATGCTCAGTTGTTAAGTAAAATGTGCCTCCAGGCTACTCTGTACACCCAGCACTGCCCTGCCTGTGCTCCTGAGGGGCTGGAGGATCAGCATATAACAGTCCTGTAGGATTGTTTGTATGTGAGAGTTGGAATGGTGCTGGGGTTTTCTTCCTTCTTGTCATAGCCCTCTGTCCTGTGGCTGCAGGTGGTGGAGAAGGCCTACCCCATGGAACCTGTCGGGGTGGTGTGCTGTGTGGATGGGGCCTACCAGGTGGTGGAGTACAGCGAGATCAGCCTGGAGACTGCACAGCAGCAAAGCCCCGATGGCGGACTGGTGTACAGCGCTGGCAATATCTGCAACCATTTCTTCACAGTTGAGTTTCTGGAGATGGTAAACCCGTAAGTTCCAGCTGACCTTCCAGCTACCTACCAGACAGTTCCAGCTGTGCAGCCTAGAAATGCTTCCAGGCGTGGGTGTTCCTGCCTCCCCCTTTGTAATTTTGGTTTTGGGTACCTCCTGCTCTGCTCTTCACCTCCTCTCTCCTCCAAACAGTTCAAAACAGCTGTGTGCACTTTCTGACAGCCCCAGCATGCTCCTCAGCCTCACCCAGTAAAGAGGTTGCATGCTTTGCTGTAGCTAAATAGACCGCAACACACCAGTCCTGGGCCTGCAGGTGTGAGCAGCCACGTGGGCTGCAGCACGGTCAGTCAGTGATGCAGCCCCATGCTGGGGATTTGCAGTGGGAATGCCCTGGTCAGGTAACAGTTTGGGTTACCTTTTTTTAATCTGCCTGCAATTTCAGCTGTATGCCAGGTCCTCCCTCTCCTCTTCCTTTACCGTGTCCTGTCCCTTCGGTGCGAGTGCTGTTGACCTGGCTGCTGTACTCCGTGAGGTGTTTCCTGGCAGTGACTTGGATCGATTTGGAGAGAGCAACAGCCACAACAGCTGAGAGATGACCCAAAGCAGTAATAAGCCATCTGCTTCCTGGAACTGTACTACTTTTTTCTAAGTGGGCATGAAGTAAATGAACTCGTTTCTCCTCCTTTTGCAGGAAATATGAGCCGCAACTGAGGCATCATGTAGCCATAAAGAAGGTGCCCTACATTGACGAGGAGGGAAATCTGGTAAAACCGCTAAAACCGAACGGGATAAAGCTGGAGAAGTTTGTGTTTGATGTGTTCCAGTTCTCTAAGTTAGTGGCAGACATGATTTTATTTTTTTTCCTCCCTCTTCATGTTTGTTTGAATGACTGTAGGTTGTAACAGGCCCCTGCCAGGGAGCACGTGTTTTGTGGGTGTTAGAAAGACTCTTGGCTCTACACCAAGCTCCAGCACAACAGTAAAGCTGCAGGCTCTGAGATGTGCAGCCGCAGGGCACTTGGTAACAGCCGTGCTTGCTCTGATTGTGCTCCCAGAACTGTTTGTTCCATTGAGGACGTGTTGGCTGGACCAGCCCCTGCCAGCCCTGTGAAAGAAAGTCACAAAAAACAAACAAAAAAAGAAATTGAGCACAAAGCCAACATTTAATACAAGCCCATGTAGGAATTATTCAGACTTGCAGAAATTGGGTCTTTTAGGCTTGTGGCTTCCATGGCAACTGTGGCTCTGGTTACATTTTTGGTGCGTGTTGCATTAGGGCTCAGCTTCACACCCTTTGTGCTGGGAAAACACCTTGCTTCGGCAGAGTGGGGTCAAGTCACTGTTGCTGTGGGAACTGTCAGTGCTTAATTGCCAAGCTCTACAACTGCCAGAGTTAGGGTACTCGGGGGTACTTTGAAATTAGGAAATGTGAGGTTTTAATATTTTAGGAGTTTAGCATAAATGTTCATATAAAACCTATTTCTGAGGCCTTGAATTCAGCAGTTAAAATTCTGTTTTAGGCTTAAATAAATGGCAAAAAGAGACCTCAGGCAAACCAAATTATCTTTTTTGGGAGTAGTAGTTTTGTTTTTAGAGGGTTTACGTTGGGATAGAGGGCTTGAGGTTCAAACCAGTCTCCGTTTCCTGACATGCCTTCAGTAAAGAAGTATCAAACCAAAGGCAAAACCAGTGTTATGACTGCTAAGTTCTGAGCTTTGAAAGGACTCATTTGCAAGCAGCTATTCCTTGTGCTTTTTTAGTAGCGCTGAAAAACCAGCTTGGCAGCTGCTCTTCACACATGAAATACAGAAACGCACAGATGGTGCTGTGCCATTTTTCATTAGTGTTCCCAATTCTGGTAAACACTTGTACTTCACATTCAGCTGTGAATCCTCCCATATTGCATGTTCATCCCGGGGGAACTGGTGTCCTCAGTTGGTCCTTGCCTGCAGACCCCCAGGTGGAGTGGCCATTTCTTGGAGCAGGGGTGCAGTGCTTTGAAGTGAGCCACACAGCTCGGCGTTGTATGCAAGCTTCAGGCATTGCAGCTCTCTCCATCCTGCCATGCTCTTAGCTGAGACTGTGTCCATGGGCCTCTGTGTCTGGGGAGGTTTCTGTGGGATCTCTGCAGAACTCTGCTTTTCCTCTCACCTGTGCACAGCTCTGGAGGGTTGTGAGGTTGCTCTTATGTTCCCAGGGACTGGGCTTCTTGTGTTTTTCCATCCTACAGCCCTGGTACTTCTTTGCTTTCCAGAGGGGAGGGGGGCTTTCCTTAGTATGCTGCTCCAGGCTGCATACATCCTTGCTCACTGAAAATATATATGAGCCTTTCCCCACGAAAGTCGTTGCATCAACAGAGCTGATGGCTAGCTTTGTTTTTCATTATTGTTTTCTCCCCTTCACCGCTAGGAATTTTGTGGCATTTGAAGTTTTGAGAGAAGAGGAGTTCTCGCCACTAAAAAATGCAGACACAGCTGACAAAGACACTCCTACCACAGCTCGGCAAGCCCTCCTGGCCCAGCATTACCGCTGGGCTCTCAAGGCTGGGGCCAGATTTCTGGATGAAAATGGTTGCAGGATACCAGAGAAACTTGGGTATGAACCTCTGTGACCTTCTCCACAGTTTCTCTGCCTGTGGCTGCCCAACCGTGCCAGCTAGTTAACAGCATGTACCGTGTTCTACAAAACCGCGTTAGTTTGACCACAGGGTGACTTGACATGATTTCCATTAGGCTGGTCTTTTCTGAACATGCAGAGTAATGTCTATTACAGCTCCTGCTCAGTTAGTGATTGTGAGTGCTCTAGACAGTAATGCATAGTGCTCTTGGGCAGAGCTTGGGCAGACATTCCTGCCCTTAGGGTCATGTGTTGACTCCTCTAGGAGCTCATTATGCAGGGGCAACGTTTTCCATCACTCTGGATTTAGCCAGCTCAAGGCATTGTAATTTGCAGTCTTCACCAGCTTTTCTGAATGTGGTCCCAGTGCTTAAAGCCCAGCAAGATTCTTGTGTGGCCTTAAGGATCAGCTGTTATAGCAATTACCAAACTTCCTGCATCATGGTGAATGGGAAGCTGCTTTTACTCTGTGGGGCTATTACTTCATCAACTCAAACCCCACAAGCTGTTCATTTTACTTGAAAAGCACCTCTTTAAAAGCAATGTTCTTGTTTTGATATTTGGGACCTTTTATTTACACACTTTGTGTTCAAATAACGTCTGGTGGATGTGAATATAACAAATGTCTTATCCTTCTGGATATCCTCTTCTAGATGATCTTTTGAAGAAGATGCACTTTTTTAAGCAAGGCAAGAAGTTAATCCTGTGTTCTCTTCTCTAGTCTCTCAGGAATGGAAGATCCTCCAGCTGTGTGTGAGATTTCTCCATTAGTGTCTTACTTCGGAGAGGTGAGAATAACTTATCTATGGACGTATTTTTAAGAGTGTGCAGGTATGCATCTGTTCTCTTTCCAGACAAATGGAGGGGGTCTTTTTGCAAGTGTCTGTAGTGACAGGACAAGAGGTAACAGGTTTAAACTGAAAGTGGGGAGGTTTAGATTAGATATCAGGAAGAAATTCTTCCCGGAGAGGGTGGTGAAGCACTGGAACAGGTTGACCAGAGAAGCTGTGGATGCCCCATCCCTGGAAGTGTCCAAGGCCAGGCTGGATGAGGCTTGGAGCAACCTGGTCTAGTGGAAGGTGTCCCTGCCCATGGCACAGGGTTTGGAACTAGATGATCTTTAGGTCCCTTCCAACACAAACGATTCTGTGATTTCTTTAGCTGGGCTTGCTGATAAATGGGTAAGTTCAAGGGAACTAGGACTTGGTCTCTGTGTTAGATTTGTGGTTCCACTGTGGTTTACTCTTCAGCGGTTTGTTCACTTTCAGTTTTAGCCATCTAAAATGAGATTTGTGACAAGGCTGCACAGTTTCATTCAGACTTACAAGTCATAGAATCATATAGTTCTGGAAGTCCTTCTCAAAGGAAGTCCTTTAAGATCTTCTGAATGAAAAGCCCAAAATACTCAAATTACATAAGCCGTGGGGTCCCTGTTTGGTTGTGTGCTAATTTGTGCCCATCTCCCACAGTGAATGAATACTGAATGAGAAGTGTGATACGTGCATTGGCTTTAGAGAAACAACGTCTGAGAACAGATTTCTCAAGTTTTGTCCCTCTGAAAATAATTGGTCCTGGGAAAGCTGCTTTCATTTCATAGTGAGAAGCAGAGCTTCCCTTTGTTGGACAGGCAGCGTGAGGAAGAGTGGATTGGAGGAGGATATCTGGGCACTGTGGGGAAGCCGTTCATAAGACATTACATCTTCACTAGGTTTCTGCGTGCAGGTAGTGAGCTCATCGCAATCACGGTGTTGTGAGAACAAAACAAAACCAATGTAATTAAAGCTGACTTTTCTTTGCTAGGATTGTTCTACTGTGGGTTAAGGACACGCCTTCCCATGTCTGCCCCTCCCCAGGAAGCTTGTTTCTGAGATCCATTGTTTTATGGATCATTGGTGCCTCTCCTTCGTAAACCCAGGCTTGGGGCTGAAACACTTTCTCTCTCTTATGCTGGGGAAGTTGTTGCTGTTGTTTGTCCTTCCCATGACCTGTTAACTTTGGGTAGTCAGTAATTCTTTGGAAACATTACGTAAGTAGTGCAGGTAAGAAGTCTGCATTTGCAACCTAATGGTACTGTTTTCAATATTCTCAGGGTCTGGAGGTGTACATGAAGAACAAAGACTTCCCTTCTCCCTTTGTACTCAATGAAAACTAAGTGGAAATGCTAGAAGATTCTTGAAGAGGAGAGAGGCCTTTCCCCCTCAAATCAGATATCAGTCTATCAAGTCCACTATAAGAACTGACATTACTAAAATGTCAGCTATGAAGTGCATTATTAAAAAAAAAAATTGCTTTGCAGTATGAGATCCATGCCAAAACCTTGCAGCAGTCATGTTTACACGCACTTGCGTGCTCACCACTTCTGCTTGGTAACTTTGAAGGCTATACCTTTTAACTCAGTCTATTATGTAGACTTGGATGTGTATGAAGAGTAATACCTTCTGACTACCAAACCGATTTTATATTTCTTATTTGCTGTTCATGCAAATATGTAAAAGAGCTGGGCCTAATAAATCAGCTTTGCATTTAAGAAGATTAAATCTCTTCAGTGCCTTGTTTAGGTATCGTTTCTGCTGGTGTGGTTAGGGGCTTGGTTTGGTTTTGTTTTTAAACACACAGCTGACGAATTGGTTTGATCTGTCTTTTCCCTAATCTTGTGCTGGGTAGAAGATCCAGTTCAGGAATTGCATCCTCTAACCACATCATACAGAGGAGTCTGCTGTAGGCAGGGATGCTGCTGTGTGTAAGCATTGCATGAGGTTTGGACTCCAAAGCCAAACAGACCAGTTTGCATATCTAGGCTCGCTGGTGCCATTCCACAAAAGCAGAAGTAAATGTGCAGCTTAGACTGATGGCTCTTCACAGCTGTAGGGACCTGGGCTTTTTCATTAAAAACAGATAGTGAGAAATTTTTTCACAGCAACCCTCTGCTCTTCCTGTCTGTAACAAACATTTATTTTACTTTTCATTTTTCTGTTTAATACCATACCCCTCACAGGGGACTCTTGTAAAGTACCTTAAAGTAGTAAGAGGAGCAAATCCTGCTGGTAGAATTTAATGCTTGACCAAAACCAACAAAAGACTTAATCCCAGCATAACCAGGGTGCACACTCAAACACCAGCCTCTGCTTCTAGGGTTTCTGGCCAGGTAGTTTTCCAGCAGTCTTTCACTTAGGAAATAATTATTTAGATGCCTTCCTTTTAAATATGTTACTAGCCATAATGTAAAGATAAGTGTCAGCTAATTAAGGATGCTAATTGCCACAACATATGTAGCATGTGAACTCAGCCCTGGCCGAGGAATTTCAGGGTGGCCTTGATCCCCAAACGACTCTTCCTGTTCAGCCTCGTGCCAGGTGGGCACCTGCTTGCTGCAGAACCTGCGCTGAACACACCAGGGGCATTTCATCCTTGGTGAGGATGCTTCAGGCACTGCTGGCTGGCCTTTGCTTGAGGAGCAAGCTATACTTTTCCCCTAAACCCCAGGTGTTAAGGAAGGTGATAAGGAAGATGCCTCATCTGGAATGCTATTGCATGCATCTGCTGCCGCTGAGAAAGTGCTGATGCTATTTCATTGAGCATAAATCTTCTAGATACCTCACATGGCTTTCTGTAATTCCTGATGTGAAGCTGTATTCAGAATGTGGGTAAGTATAAAAATAGGTATTAAAGACAGTTTGTAATTAAGCTCATGTTTTCCAAAGAAAGCATGTAAATGTCAGTGGCAGAGTCTTTGGGTCTCAAGTGTATCTGGATGCATTTAAGTATTGAGCCTTTTGCACATGCAAACCAGCTACTGATGGTTCTGATTACCTCATATTGCAAGTGCAGCCAGTCATTCCGTTGTTAGTATAAATTAAGCATTTGTCCTTGACACCTAATTCTGTAATTGTTTTTGCACAGTGTTTTATGGGTCATTCCATTCCCATCTGCTAAGTTTTATATCTGAGAACAAATTGTGTTCTATCTTTGTTAGTATTGCTTGTCGATTCAGGCACACCCGGTTTTAAATTGCACTGTGCTATAAAGAAAGGGTATTTCTTTTGCTCTTTCTAAAGTGCTTTCTCTTTCGAAACTTCCCGTGGGCTTTAATCTTGTGTACACTGAGCTGCTGACATGGTTTTAGAGGTTGTTTTCAAGGAGAAGCTGAATTAGAATGCTGAGTGTGTTGTCTGTTGGGGTGTTTTTCTATGCCTCCTCACATTTTAAACTGGAACATGGAAAGAATTTTGAGAAAATCAAATAAAAATCTGTCCTGTATGTAACAAAGTAATTCTAGTATGCATTGTGAAATGAGAGAAGTACCTGAAACAAAGGGAGGTCCCAGAATACTCCAGAAACTTTTGGACACCTGAACTTTTTTATATTAAAGATGTTACTGTGATTTCTAAGTGTCTGTGTTTCTTGTCGGTGAGGAAAATAGACTTAGGGTCTTTGTCCCTACCTGTCATGGGTGCTGTCACCATAGCAGCAGGACACTGAGACAGTGTCACTGATAGCATTGCTGGAGGCTGCAGTCCCTGCGCCTCAGATGTACGGGGATGTGGACCTCACCAGAGGGTAATTCCTGAAGGGGTTTGACATTGTGGGATGTATTTTTTCATCAGAAGACAGAAGAAACTTGTCTTGCCTGCAAGCCTGTTTGCTTGTTTGTTTTGCTCAAGCTTCTCAACTCATTTTACTGCGGGGAGGGAGCTTAATTGTGGGTGGTGTGTATTTTTCTTTCATGGAAGGTAGGTTTGAGTGATCTGGCTCCAAGTCGGGCTTATCGCAGCTGTTGTGTAGGGAATGAGCATTCACTGTAATGCAACCTTTGCTTGGCTTCCCATTGACAGGCGCTTTTTAAACAGCTCAATTTGTAGAGCAATCAGTAGGGGAAGTTAGTAGGTTTTCACAAAAACCAGCTTGTTCTCTTTTGGAGGTTTAGTGCTGAACCCAGCAAAGGTCAGAAGCAGATATTCTTTCTTACCAATTTCGCGCCGTATTTCTCTCTTGGCGCCCATGCGAAGGCTGCTGGTGTTTTTAGTGAGGTTTTAAGCTATGTGAATCGGTAGTTTCTTGAGATAGGAAAATAAATACTAAAAAGGAATGCATGCTTCAGGCTTCTGTAAAGTTGTTCCTCTGTTTATGTGGTGTTCCTATCTACCAGAATTGTTTGCTTGCTTAGTTTTTTTAAAATCATGGAATACTCAGAAAACCACCAAATTTTCAGTTTTATCTGGAAATGTAGTGTGATGTGGGTTCCAAATTTAAAGGCTCAAATGATTCATGCTAACTGAATAATTAAGGACAGCTGAAGGTGAACTCAGTGCCAGCGCTTTAAGACTAATGCTATAGGCAGCTGCTTCAATGCTTTCTTTTTCCTGGTGGACTCTGAACCTGACCTAGAAGTAATGCTTATTACAAAACCAGTCACGTGTACATCACCAAACAGTGCTCTTCCTTATTCCACTACACCCACTGATACCGTCCTTCCTCCCCAGTGAAGATGCAGAGAACTGTTGGCACAGGGAGTGATGGAAGGCTGGGAATCTGTGGAGAAGCAGGTGAGGGAAAGAATTCTGTGGGACAAGGGGGGTCCTTTGGGGTACCAAAATTCAGTGCCAGATCTTACGGAAGAGTTTATTTACACAACAGCTTAAGTTGCTTCTCACCTGAAGGGAAGCTGCTGAATCTTGTATGTTGAGTTGTGAAATTCCTCTCAGGATTAGCCCTGATCGGCAGCACATTGTTTAGAAATAGGGTGTTTAGATAGTACCTAACCAAAGCCTAGCAGATGTTCCAGAGAGGATAGCTGAATAGGCAAGTGCTGCAGCCTTTGTAGTTGTAAATCACTTGTGATCGTGATAAGCATCTCTACGGAAGCTCGCAGACAAGTGATGAAGACTCCTTGCTTCCTCGCTTGACCACTGGACAACCACCAGAGGTGACTGTTACCATCAAAAGGGTAAATAGATGGCTGCAAAGACCGTGGGATGATCAAGAAAAAGCTGATGGAATCGAAATATAATTATCTCAGGAAAGGTGTTACTAAGTAAATGATTTCTGGAGACTAATGAGTATGCAATATGCATGGACATAGAAGTAGTGTGGTTGTGCCAAGCCAGCCGGGCACTTACGGTGGAGACTCCCCAGTGCCGCCCCAGCCCTGCAATAAAGAATACCTGCTTAACAGCATGAAACTGCTGCTGAGTCAAATTTCTTTGTTTCACACCCACTGACACATTCTCTGAGATTTCAGTTAGCTACAACCCATCTTTTGGGGTAAAATACAAGAAAATCAGTAGAGCTAGTTAGACATATGAGATTATGTTAGATATTTGCTAGGAGATTTGTGTTTAAAGGAATGTACTGTAACCTAGATGAACAATTGAAGTGGGTGAAGTTGATTTATGTGTCCATTCTGTACCAACTTATAACGTACTGTAACTTAGGAGATTTATAAACATAGAAGTAGTTGTGTAATGAAATGGGTAATGCGCATGTGTGAACAAGACCGCCCATCTACCTGAACGACCACCGTGCGACCACCTAGACCACCAAGACCACCACCAGAGGGAACCACGCATGCTCAGATGGGAGGAGATCTAATTATAATACGAAGCGAAGCTAATTACCATAGGAAGCGAGGCTGATGTCGAAATCTAATACATATGTAGCTTTGAATAGTATAAATTGTGTTCGGGATGTGA